CTAAACTCTAGTATTACTTTATTATCATAATTTATTCAGGAACATTTGGTAGAATTGCCACCCTAACACCAAACGCTAGTGTTATAAAACTGTACTCTAGTGTTACTTTATTATCATAATTTATTTGGGAACAGTTGGTAGAATTGCCACCCTAACACTAAACACTTGTGCTACAACACTAAACCCTGGTGTTAATTTATTATCATGATTTATTCTGGAACATCTGGTGGGATTGCCACCCTAACACTAAACACTAGTGCTAAAACACTAAACCCTAGTGTTAATTTATTATCATGATTTATTCTGGAACATCTGGTAGGATTGCCACCCTAACACTAAACACTAGTGCTACAACACTAAACCCTAGTGTTAATTTATTAATATGATTTATTCTGGAACATCTGGTGGGATTGCCACCCTAACACTAAACACTAGTGCTACAACACTAAACCCTAGTGTTAATTTATTATCATGATTTATTCTGGAATATCTGGTGGGATTGCCACCCTAACACTAAACACTAGTGCTACAACACTAAACCCTAGTGTTCATTTATCATGATTTATTCAGGAACATCTGGTGGGATTGCCACCCTAACACTAAACACTAGTGCAACAACACTAAACCCTAGTGTTAATTTATTATCATGATTTATTCAGGAACATCTGGTGGGATTGCCACCCTAACACTAAACACTAGTGCTACAACACTAAATCCTAGTGTTTATTTATTATCATAATTTAGTTAGTTAAATTTGGTAGGATTTCCACCATAAATCAACAAAAACAATTATTTTAATTTAATATTGTGAGATTTCCACTCACCTTTTTTATAATTACTTCGATGACCATAGCAACTAATCTTGAGCGGCTACAGTTATTCGCTGTCGCTTTTTGTGAATTTGATATATTTCATGTGGTAATACCTCTCCAACTGTGTAAGGCCCTTTGTATTTTGGCCTCAATTTTCCTCCACCTGCGAGCTGTGAATCTTCAATTGCCACGATATCGCCTGGCTTAGATAATGTGACTCGACGCCTAGTTTCATTGAATCGTTCACCTTGGTTTGACGGTCATCAATTTTTATGATACTACGACGGCCTCTTCTACTGCTATACACTGGTTTTCTTTGTCTGCTAAGAGTGTTGCTCATAATAATTTAAAGAGAGTTAATCATTACACATTCTACCATTTCCACATGGCACTTCGGTTACTTTATAATCAATCTGCTTTACTAAGAAAGTTTTTGTAAGTTATTGAATTAAATGCAGCAGCTATAATAATTCATATTGGTTTTCTCATTTCTTCAATAATTGATATTAGACAACATATGGAATCTTTAGAAATTGTTTCTAGCTTGCAATATTTTGAAAATGCATCGATTATAACTAATATTTGAATACAACCACTAGAGTTCACTAAAGAACCTGCATGATTAATATACTATGTGTCTAAAATGTTATGTGACTTTTCTCCATGTTACCAAAATTCACGTTAAGTGATGTAATTTTTTTAAAGCACTGGCCCATTTTCGGCCAATATAAAACAATAAAAATAAAGTCAGAATAAACAAACAATCGCGCTGCGACGAACATACAATATTTTCGAAGATTTGTTTATAGTTGTCCTATTTAACAATTAGGTAGGTCAAAGTCAAAGACCGGCTTATTAATTATCTGATGACAAATCGTATCACTTTGCTGGAAATCTCGGAGCGTATGCTTATCGGTAATTTTGTTTGTTTGTTTGTTTATTGTTTTTAACGGGCACACGTTTAACTCGCTTACATAATTCACTGGATTTTTTTAATATTCTATATGTTACATTTTATGTCCAGGGTGGTACTCAATAGAAAAGTTTTAATTCTATAACTTATCACATCAACGCGCCGCGCGCGTATTTAATTTGTTTACAGCTTTTTCTCGAACCGAATTAGTCTGTATATACTATTGAATGCACACTGTACAGATACACACGAAAGTGTTCAACCGCTTTCACTATAACAAGTCTTTAGATTGTAAAAATATAACCTTGATTCACAATAAGTCGTACGGCGACTATAGTATGCAATAGGTTTAGTAACAAAAGCAGTTACCTGTTTGGAACTTTCTTCTATTTCCATTTGATAAAAGCTTGACTTCATGTTCAACGTGGTAAAATATTTTAAAAGCATTAATTTGATCTTCAAAACCTTTTTTTTTTTAATAACACAATAGGACTTTTATATTTTATAATACAATAGGAATACTCTCCCTAATTCACCTCTTGTACTTACGAGTGAATTTCAATCTCCAAAGTTGACTGAGCTGGTGTGTGGAAAGAACGGCTATCATTTTTTATTTGTATTGACGCTCCGGGACGACTTAAAGATGACAGCCATTTGACTTACAGATGGGGAAAATCCAGAAAACCTTACCCACCTTCATTTTAAGTGACTTCTGCGGATAATGTCACTGTTTATAATTTTCTTCTGCTGAATTTTGTCTTGATACGCTAATCGCCTTCGTCGATACGCTACTGGAGTACTGCATTTTAATCTAAATTGACATTTTTCTGGTAGTTATGTGGTCAGGAGTTTTATTCTTGTAAAATATTAAAAGATTCTTCACTTGTATTTTAAAAGTGTCTATTAATTCTAATCGATTAATTTTCATATCGTTCCATTTTTTATTGTAAACACTTGGAATGTTGAGCAGGTCTTGATGTAACTTAATCGTGTTGACATTTTTCTCAACACCTAAACAAGGTCGGCATATGACATTTCTTCTAATAATCTTCAGGAATCACACTATTTGGAACGACCTCTAACGTAATAGTCGGCAAAATCACAAAGATCGATATTCTAAACATTGAGTTCCAATTCATAACAAAAGCACATGGATCAGCTGGCCTATTCTTTTCTGTTAATGTTTTTACTACGAAATGTTTAATTATTAAACTGTCAACATCACTCTCAATAAGGTATTTTAATGACTGAGTTTGTTCACAGTATAATAACATGGCTATCGGTGTCGAATTTAGATAGCGTCACTTTTTTTTAACACAAATGTTTTCTTAGGCTTTGTTGTTTATACCAACAATTGGATTCGGCTTGGCCCATTTTTTTACAATTAATGCACTAATACTTTCGGATTTTTTTATGAGTAATAACCGCGTTAAATGTACTCGCCTGTTATATTCTCCGACATAGATTTTGTTGGTGTCTCTGGTGGTCTCATTTAAAGGAAGGTACATTTAAGATTTTGTTTGGCTTGAAACGTTCGGCTTCTCGTCGATCTTTAAACTGACTTCTTGAGTTTCTAATGATATCTGCATTTTTCGTCATTCTCGAGGTCAACACGAATCGCATCAAATTAATTTAGTAATTTTATAAGCTCACCACTCACGTTTGGAATTTGGCTTTTGAATTGTCTAAACCGGAACTGAATGCCACAGCAAAGCATTATAAAATTTAGTGATGATTCACAATTTTTGATTTTCACAATCACACAATGAGTTAGAATCATTGCATTGAAGCGTAGCCTTGTATTCACGAGCAGCTGGTGTTTTCTTGTCAGCGAATGCAACAATTAGGTCATCACAAAGTCTTGCCACGTTCGAGAAAGAAGTCGCCAGTCATAACAATAACAATAACCGCGATTCTTAGATGCTTTGCTCAATTTAGCGACCATAAAGTTATCTCTAACGCTGAGTTCGTTTTTTTATTTTGGTTATCCTCACTTAAGCCATTCGTTTATGGAATATGCGCTATCGTCAGGGTCATAGCTGGTAAGTCGAAAATAGTGCACAGGCGCGAATGTTGGCGTTTGCGTGGTAGATTAATCTGCTCCTCCAACTTTGAGCGTTGGCTTGGCGAACGGTTACCTAGCCATCTTGGAATGTTGAATTAAATCAGCAATTTATTACTCTTGGGCTGCTACAAAGTTTATTAATGTTTCCTGCCATTGAAATTTAGCACGCTTTGAACTGTGTCCATTCATATTGTCGTTAACATCGACCGACATTGTGTTCTGCTGACGCACTGTCACGAGATTCAGGATTTTCGTCCGCCATTATCACTAGCACTAACTTCAACTGAAATTAATAATTATAGTCTATTAGCCACGGTACGCGTAGTGATCTCACTTCTGATATAAACACAAGGGATGTATCATTCCTAATAAAAATGTCTAAACTGCTTTTTCTAAGGTTTATTTTACGATCAAGTATTCTCAATTACAATGTTGCTGTGGTATTGCCACTGTCTATTAGCGTACTACCCACTGCGCTGGTCTGTCTTCTCCCGCTCGTCTATCCTGACACGCATGTGTATGGACTTCAAGAATGTATGGTGGGGAGTATAGAGAAATACCGCTTACATTGATATTCCCAATTTAAACATATTAAAGTTCTCTGAGAACGAAGTCATAAATGCTATAAAATAATTGAAGTCATCTATGACAATAAGACCTGATTTAATTCCAGCCTTTAAAGACTGTGTTTATGCATTAGCATCTCCCCTATGTGCTATTTTTAATGTGATAATAAAGTCAGCTGCGTTCCCAAATTTCTGGAAACTGTCACGTGTAATGCCTATATTTAAAAAAGGAAATATAAGTAATGTTAACAACTATAGGCCGATTACTATTATTAATAATTTTTAGACAATATTTGAAATATTTGATATAACTTGCAAGAACAATTAGATTTTAAGTACTTACTTAGTAATTATTACTGTTTTTTGTATTTAGTATGTTATTTTTTATTTATATTCAAATTTTTTATAGTCCAAGCTCCCACTTCGAAATTTATGAATATAGTGTTAAAGACAAAATGTATTTTTGAACACTATACTCTTATTGAGTGGACACTTCTGTAAATTGTCTGCATAGTCATTTTAGTTCAAAAAATTTCGGCCAGTTTTGAGTTCTTCTTGGTTTAATGTGCAATGCTGAAACTGTTTTTTTTTTTTCGTCTTGGATATTACAAAATAGAGTATATTTGTTAAAACATTTTTTGTTTCAGGAAAAATAAAAATGATGTTCGATACCATGACACAATGCATCAAAGGCTTAGAAAAAATATTAGACGAAAATGCCGCTCTAAACGATCCCGTAGATATTAGAAAATGTTTGTTGCTGTTTAACTCAGACATTATATTAACCGTAGCATTCGGCTTAGACGTCGATAGCTTGAAAAACCCCGAGAATGATTTTAGAAAACAATTCGCAAACGTATTCAAACTGTCGCTCAAAAGTATCATCAAAAAATTTATTTCCGATAATTTTCCGCAATGGCTCTTAGTTGCTCTACAATTCAGATTAACCAATAAAGAAGCAGAAGATTTTTTTATAAAAGTAGTCAAAGACATTGTCGAGTACAGAGAAAAGAACAATATTTATCGAAAAGATTTCATGTATCTATTAATTCAAATAAAAAACACTGGAGAAACTACAGACAATGAGAGTCTTAACTCGAACAGTACCATGAAGCACTTGTCGTACAGTGAAATGGCTGCTCAAGCTATTACATTTTATATTGCTGGATTTGAGACATCTTCAACCACAGTGTCTTTCGCTTTATTTGAATTAGCTCTTCATACTGACATTCAAAATCGACTTAGAGAAGAAATTCAGTTAGTAATGAAGAAACATAATAATCAAATAACTTACGATGGTATCATGGAGATGGAATATTTGGATATGGTATTTCAAGGTAATTAGAATTTAAGGCTTTTAGATACGTTTATTTTATATTCGAGGGTTTTTAAATTGAAACCCATCCTTGGTTCATAAAACTGTATTGACAAAGATATTTACAAACTACCACCACCACATATATCCCAATGTTGCACCAACCGATGGATAATCTGCTCATATACTATAAAAACTGGATCTAACGTTGAAAACAGTTGAAAAAAATAAGAAAGCAAAAATTGTGCAATTTAAAATTTTATATTTATTTATTACATCGATTGATATTCACTTAACCATCGCCTATCGGTCATCGACATCAAGGCATCTGTACGATTATGATTTCTATGTTTCATGACTTTTTTAAATACAATTACTTATTTAACCTATATTTACAAGTTTTTTAAATTAGGTTATCGAGTGGTTTACTAAATACAGTATTTTATCCAATTTTGACACATTAAAATGACTTTATCAATTCCATAACCACAATAACAAATAAAGTTTTATTGACTAGCAACTAAAAGAGTGAGTTAAAATTTTTTTAAGTCACTAGTGACATAAAAAACTTTTAAGTCACTATTAGTTAACCTAATAATGTACCTATATTACTGTCGACAAACAAATGTGGAAGTCGCTATTTAGGTATCGATATTAGCACTCTTTAGGCATGTGTGATTTATATTATGTAAAGCCAATATAATAAATAATGGAATCAGTCTAAAAGTTTTATTATAAAAATCAACTTGTAACAATAATTATGGAAACAATGAAAACAATAATACTTAATGAAAACTACAATGGAAACTATCTTTGCATAATTATTTTTTATAATCAAAATAAAAGTTATAGTTATTTAAATTATTAAACTGGAGCTTCATTTCGTTGTTTAATGGAATAGTTAGTTGCTCTGAAACATTATTTGTTTGAATCGATGTTTGTACCGATGGCGATAGGTTCAATGTTTAAATTGGAAATTTGTAATGTATTCTCCGATATATTATATTTATTATTGACTACTGTCCCAGCTTTTTCAGGTACACCTACTGCAACTTCATTACCCAATATTTTACTTGAAATTTTTATTTTATTTCTTATAGACTGTTCAACATATCCTTCTGCAACTGAGTCAGAATGCCATTCTCCATGTCTTTTTAATATCGATAAATCGGCGCCTGATTCCGCCAGCAAAGAGGCAGAGGATCGTCTAAAACTATGTCCAGTATAGTCTCCCGCATTTTCTAAGCCAAGAAACTCTGCTATCTTCTGAGGTATTTTGGAAAATGTGTTAAAACCTACAGGCTGTACCGTGCATTTTTCATTTTTATAGTTTAGGAATAGTCGTGTATGTGGTACATTTTGCGGGCGCAATTTCTTATATTTCTGAAACACATCAATTGCATTGATATTATTGCTTCCATTGACAACAGTGAATATTATTTCTTTGTAAGTTTTAGTGTCGGGAATTTTCACCACTAATACACTTCCTCTGGACATCGCTACCAGTTCGCAAATTCTGCAGCCTCCTGAAACTCCCATTATCAAAGCTACTTTAAGCAGTAAATACTTGTCATCAGGAGCAGTATCTAAAAATTTTTCGACGTCTTCTCTGCTAAATACATTTGATTTCTTTGGTCTATATCCCACTGATTGGTTCTTTAAAAATGCTTTCACCTGGTGAAATCTGAAAAAGTAACCTTTTATTAACTCAAACGTCTATTTTTTAATATAATTTAAAAACCTACCTGCTTATGACCACATTTTCTTTAACGGACATTTTCTTAAGTTGCGAATAATAGGACCATAATGACACTTCTCGTTAACTCCTTTAACCTGCTTTTTGTGTCGCCATTGGCAGAAAGCATATACTCCTTCTCGTACAATGATTTAGATTTATTGGGTATTATTTTTGCTAAAGCCTCATTTGCTGCATTTAACACTTCTTCTGGAACAAGTTCTTCATTCACAAAATCTAAGGTATCCATTTTTCCAAAATTTTAAACGAAAATTAACTCTTTTGCCGATGTTTTATATCGTAGATTTTAGTCAATAACAGTAATATTCAACCATGGTGTAAGGATACAGGTGAAGCGGTGCGCAGGTTTTATGACGTCAACATCGGTATTGCCACGGCCGCCTATACACTGCCATGTCATTCCATGGCTTTGTTTACATTTTGTAATGATTGTCAAGAAGTTTAATTTTTATTTCCTAGTTCTATAATCATAAAACTGAAAATATATTTAGAAGAAAATAACAATTGCGTCAAATAACATCAAGTTATGCTCAATAATACAAGAAAAGTCACTATAGGCAGATAGACGCTTGTGCAAAAGTAATGCCAAATAAAAAAAATATTTTGTGCTTTTATACAAAAAAAGTAGGTAATTTATTTCGAATTTAGCCATGGTGTAAGGAATTTAGCCTAATATAGTTTCTCTTTGGCGTAAAAAAAGATAGTGTTCATCTGAAACTGAATTTTTCCATCACAAAACTTGGAAGGATTTAAATCTAGGATTTAAATCTTCATACCTAGCATTGCTATCTGATAGATTGAGATCAAGATGATAGCCAAAACGTACCTAAACTTACAGAGACATTACCATTAAAAAGTTTTAGTGGCTCAGTACGGATAAAAACTGGAACTAATAAAAGGCATATACAAATAACTAATTTAAATGTGAAACTGAAATATGTAGTGTCCCTTGTATTGTGTATAGTGGAAAAATGTTTAACCTCTTGCCAATTAATTAATAATAGGAAGTACTGATAATATGTTTAAAAAGCAAGAAACTCAAAAAGGTATACTACAAAGTGGATAAATTTTTCTATGATTCCTTGAATTAAGTAGTTCATTTTAATTTATGTGTATACTCCTGTATATATATTTCTCGATTGTCATATTTGTACTTAGGTTGTGCATTTGTTTTTATATTATATTTTGTCTTGATATTAGAATTTAAAAAATTTTAAAATAAAAAATTTCATTTATGAATATTTTGTTTGTTTCTTTTCCTTTGAATTTTAACTTATGTTATCTATCTTTGTTAATAAGAATGTAATTAATTCTTCAACAATAAATAATTTTGTATCGATTCAAATAAACTTGTGTATAATGTTAACGAATGCTGAACAATAAAATTAAGGTGAAATGAATTATGATCAGTATATTTTTTTTGTCTGTAGTCACTTTTATAGATTATAAATGTAATAATTTAATTTTAAATTAGGCATCAAACATGGCCATCAATAACTTGTATGCACAGATCAATTACTTTCTTGTATGGTTGGGTGCTAAAAATAAACTTTCAAATTGAAAATAGCTTTTTAAAAAATTTAATTATTTTTTCTAAGTTAAAATTCTACAACTACGATCTGTACTACAAGAAATATAAATGTATAATGATGTTAAAAATGAGAAAACTAGATAAAATGCATAAAGTCCTAATCAGCGGTTTCCTAGAAACTGGTAACTCTGATAACGCCGACATCTGCAGGATCTGTTACTAGGGCTGATGTAATTCCTCCCCTCGAAGATTCAACTCCAAAGGGTTAGCGAGGGAGTTGAACGGTGGTATGGTCTACTGGTACTTCTTCTTGATTTACTGGCTTACGATAAGATGAGATTTTTCTAACAACAAAAACTCCTGTTAGTAAGGCCAAAAAACAATACATAAATATTGTCCATATACTGGGGGTGTAGCGCACTCCTTGGAACTTGGTTATTGGTTCATTTTCGACGAATTTTGATTTAATTTGGTGTAGTTCATCTAGATTAATTTCTTCTAATTCAAGATTGAGATTTAATTTTGACGATTCAGAATTTTGGAATTGTAGTTCGGGAAACAACATGGGTTGACTTGAAGTTTGAAAGTTTTCTTCATTTGCGGTTTTTTTCTGTTTTGTGGTCACTGAACAGCCGACTGGAATTTGAATGAGGTAACTGCCTATGGCTTCAATGACTTCTGTTTGATCATGACATTGAAGGGTGATTGGTTCCTTTGATGGGAAAGTTGCTATCCATTGATTTGTTCGATCTAATCTTTCGAACAAAGCTTGTTTTGTTGTGATTCGTGTTTGTTGACATGTGGAGGTGTTTTGGATATTTAAGAGGGCTATTTCGCATGGATTTTCTTTCTTGATCCCTTGGAGGTTAGTTTCGCCGCAAATATATGATGTTGCTGGGTGTAGCTTAAGGCAAGGCTTGCTCATAAATGCGTAATTGAAGTTATCTTTTATTAAGTAATTATTTTTTGGAATCACTGCTTTTAACTGACCCTGTTTCTCGACTGGTACAGGGTACAAATGGTAATAGTCAAAATTTTCAATAGTCGTTAAGGGAATTTTAATTATATAAGTTATTTTGTTGTTAAATACGTAGCTCTCGATTTTTATCAGTTTTTCATATATCAAAATATTTTCTAAAGTTACTTCAAGTGGCAATTGACTGCCCTTTAATTTCCTTTGAATCTTTTGTAATTCCTTAAAGAAATCTGCGGTTTTCATGATAGTTGGGTGCATAATATTAAGTTTTGAGAATGATATAGATGTTTCTATATCTTGCAATATTGAAATAATTATTTCCAACATATTAATAATTTGAATAAGGGTGTCTTTTATTATTATTGTATTTCCTAACTCGATAGTTGTTTCTACAACTGAAGCGATTCTTTCTAGTTTTTCTTTTAAAATTTCCTCATTATGTATTATTTGATTAACGGTTAAATTGAATTTATTTATTAGTGAAATTGACAACAAATTTTGGTTTTTTATGTTTACGGCCATGTTATTCTGATTTTCTTGGAGTTGTTTTATTAATAGTTCATACCGTTCTCCATCAGTGGAGTCTAAGGTACCTGATATAGCTTTGAATATAGATCCTAGCCCATTAATGAGTCCTCTTTTTGTCCTATGAGTTGAAGGAGGAGGTAAAATTTCAACTAGTTTACTTTCAACTTTTTCTTCGGTGAATGCTAAGATTTTTAAGTAATTTGCAATGTCGCTTGAATAATATATGTTTTT